CGATTCGTTCACCAAAAAGATTCGTTCAAAAAGAACGATTCGTTCACGAACGTAACAACACTATTAACAGCAGATGGCACTGCGTGCTTTAGAAATAGCTGTACTCTGCTTGCTTCCAGTTCCTTAAACACGCACCATTTAAACCTAAAATAATCATTCATGAAGTTCGAAAAGGTTGAAGCGAATTACAAGGATGTTCACAGTGGGCTGTGTTTACGTTAATCTCGCATCACAGGGCTTGACGCTTACTTTTTTCAGAAGGAGCACATTAAAGAATTTTAGGGGCGATTTAGGAGCACATTAAAGAATTTTAGGGGCGCATGCTAAAACGGAATAAATTTAAATGAACAAACTTGGCATTGCATTTGCAACCATGTGAAAACAGGGGGTGCTGCAGCCCCTTCAGCACCCCTAAGTTACTTCCCGCGTCCCTGACTTGGTCTGCAATTTGTCCAATCATTTCTGCACACCTTTTATCGTTGTCATATGTTGGATTTATGTCCACTCCGTTTTTCTTATGTAGGGTAATAAGCGGACCAAACTTCACAAAGGCTGTCTCTTCTTTAGCAATATAATACGCAATATTAAATTTTATTTGCAGCTGTCGACTTTTTTCTTCTTCAGAGAGCAGCACCTGCCTTCTTACAGCTGCCTGCATGGTTGCCGATCCTGTTTTCTCGTGCTATGTACGCATCTCTGCAGAGTGCATGCCTCCGCGATTTACCGTGTTTTAGTACTGTATCGTTTAAAATGAGGGTTGCCGCTAACAAAGGCAGAGTTGCCCGCTTGTTTCTGTCCTCTGCAGTACTTGCAGTACATTAAAGTTGTTCCTCAAAAATGAGCCATGGGAATGTTTTCTGCCACTGTGGATTAAAATTGTATTTCCTACCAGCAGTGGAGGATGAACCGTTATCGCCGCTTGGTCCCTCTTTTACGTTTTCGTCGCCCTCCTCTTCCATATCCTCCTCAGGATCGACTGTTTCTGTCACGCTCTGTCTTATGAAATAATGACTAATTGGCTTCATAATTCATGTATTATGCGTTACTGCGTTTACCTCACCTTTTTTTTTTTTTAATGTGGCGCCTGCACGTACTTTGCGTGGATCACGTGAGTTTTTTCTGAGACCGCGTTATTAGTGTTTTATCTGCTTCCCCTTACATTACTCAGCCGAATGCACAAGCGCTCTTCTTCGTGAGCATTTGAGTGTGCGGTTAAAAACTAGCCTAGAGCGCCATCTGCTGTTAAAAACGAAGCTTAGAATCGATTCCAGAGAGAATCACGATGCATTCTGAAAATCTCAGAATCGATCCACGAAACGCGATGCATCGATTTATTGTCCCAGCCCTAGTTGGGAGAAATAAAATGAAATGAAATAAAGAAAATAATAAAATAAAATAAAATAAATTTCCCTCCCAAGCACGTTTCTTCAAAGCAAAAACTATTATTGGCTGAGTGAAATATGCCGGGACGAGATGCTTTGTTTTTCAAACTTGTAGCGGCAAAAAACTTAAACTCTTTTGCGAAAACGCGTTAAGATGCAATGAGCAGCAGGATTTTGATCCTTTGCATCTGCATCTCTTGTTGTACATGAGCATACTAAGATCACTGCTTTGATGTGAGGGATTGCTACACTTTCAATGTATCAGCAAGGGTGTGTGAGTTACCTGTGCGGGAGCCCCTGGCGCTGCCCAGACTGTCTCCACGCGTGAGGATGGAGATGCCGCTGAAGCTGCTGGCTTTGGTGACCGGAGGTCTGAGCGTACGGTTGGAGCTGTCCGAGTCTGTGCTGCTCCACGGACGCGGCTCCAGGCTCTTCATATCGCTGTCGGTGCTGCTCTGGCGACTGCTGGAGGCCCGGCTGGAGCTTTCCCTGTTACCCCTGCGTGCGGGACGAGAACACACACACAGAGCTGTGTGAAAACAGACACAGACACTCATTCTGACAGTCCAAACACCAGAGGCGGACAGTAGTGAAGAATTGTTACTCTGCTTTAAAAGTAGGGCTGCACGATTAATCGAATGCAATTGTCATGCGCATCTAGTCAGTAAAGCCGGTTCTGTGATCAGTAGTAAAACTCCATCATGTGCTTTCAGATGGAGCAGCATTTACTACACAGAACTGTAGTTCACTGACAAGCTATGCAAAAAAAAAAAATCGAAGAAATCGTTCTGTGATAATGACAGCTGTTTGCGTAGCTTCTCAGTGAACTACGGCTCTGTGTAGTAAATGCTGCTCCATCTGTGAAAATACCACATTTAATAACATGTTTTTACTCCAAACTCACTTCATAACGTCAGTCGAGTGTTTGAAATAAATCCTTCTGTGAGATGATGTGGCTTCATACACAGAATAAGGCACGCAACATATTTCATAGTATTCTAAGCAGTGATAAAGGCATTGCATTATTATATACTTTATTACAATGAAAATTATTATAATAATTATAAGCACTCATATATTGTCGTAGTCGTGTGCTTATTAGTCACGCTGAATCAATGAAAGCAGTTAAATCTTCTGTTTATTCAGCTACCGTTACAAGATCCGCATGACTATCGCAGCTTTTGCCTAATCGCGATTTCATTGCGATTTATCGTGCAGCTCTATTTAAAAGCACATTTTTCAAGTGTCTGTACTTTATCAAGTGTTTTTCTTTGGAAAACTTGAACTTCACAACATTCCAAAGCATAACATTGTACTTTTTACTGCACTACATTTCATATTAAATATAATTTAATACTTAATTGCATTAGAAATCTAGTACTTTTTTACTTTTACTCAAGTAAAAGTAATTGAAAGTTTTACTTGAGTACAAGAAATTACTGCATTTTTTATGTTCTTAAGTATTAAAGGTAAAAAAAAAAAAAAACTTTTATTTATGAAATGCAGTAAAAAGTACAACATTGTGCTTCGGAATGTAGTGAAGTAAAGGTTTTCCAAAGAAAACGCTCTGATAAAGTACAGATACTTTTTAGATTTACTTGAGTAAAGGAAAAATATTTCACTACTGTCCACCTCTGCACACACACACAAACAAACATGCAGATCCATCACTGGAGCGCCACACAAACTTGGTTGCAAGATATCAGACACAAAGTGCTAACAATAAACACAAACCTGAACATTAAACATACACACATACAGACATACTCAAACATCAGACACACAATACAGACCTGGGCTGCACCGTACACCGTCATATCCACCAAGCTTGCATTTAATGCAACAGCATGGAGTGGAGGAATGGTTTGCAGTGCTGCATGAGGATTTTCTAGTTTAAATGCACATTTGAAAACTACTTAATTCAAACATTTGCTTGTGTAAATTATGGGTTTTATTTACCGTGCAGCCCTTAGACACACACACACACACACAGGCCCATCACTGTTAAACTGATGCATACACACTCAGATCTGCGTAATGCGCTGCCCTCCTGCACAAGAGCAGCTGTCGAGAAAACCAATAATCAATCAATCAGTCAATGGTTCTGTATTTAACAGCTAAAGATACTCAAAACAGTTCCAGAGTTCAGTAAATCGTCATCAATAATGTTACATTACACTCATCAGCTCTCATTACCGTGCAGCCCTTAGACACACACACACACACACAGGCCCATCACTGTTAAACTGATGCATACACACTCAGATCTGCGTAATGCGCTGCCCTCCTGCACAAGAGCAGCTGTCGAGAAAACCAATAATCAATCAATCAGTCAATGGTTCTGTATTTAACAGCTAAAGATACTCAAAACAGTTCCAGAGTTCAGTAAATCTTCATCAATAGTTACATTACACTCATCAGCTCTCAAAAACACTGTTCAGAGACGCTTCACGCTGACAAACAAAAATTTAACCCGCAAAATGTTATCACCGTTATTACGCTTCATGTGCAATTTTACAAAACGCACTTCCTCAGAGACCGAATGTGAGATGAACAACAGATGTAACAGACTAAATTCAAATATTTTGTGCAAAGAGTGAAAAATATTTGTGCTAAAAATGCACATTAGCATAAGACGATTAAAATAACTGATCTGTAAAACCCATCCTGGTGATGCCAGATGACTTATTTCCTTACGGGAACTGGGACTGGAGATGACATTTACGTTCTAGAGTGCTCTTCCACATTTTGCACATAGAATACTAAAACTACAGAACAGAAAACTACTGGGAACAAACACGCAAGTTTTCCCAGAAAAAGGTGATGAAACAATTTCATCAACAAATTAGATTTTGCATCAGCAAAAAGATTCAATTAGATCCACTCCAACACAAAATTGCCAGACTAAAGCTAATAAAAAGAGTCTATTTAATTGGACGAGAGACCTCAAAGGCAAAACTAGGACTTATTTACAAATTACAAGTATTATAATATTTTCCCTTGCCTCCCTTTCTTCCTATCATGGAGTCTAAAACTACGAAAGCATGCTTCGCTTCCACCACATAATTGCAATTTTTATCTCACAATCTGGACATGTTTCCTTGCAATTCTGAGTTTTGCACAATTTTTACTTTTTTTTTTTTAGAATTGCTAGATGTAAATGCAGAATTGCGAGCTGTAAACGCAGAAATGCGAGCTGTTAACGCAGAAATGTGAGCTGTAAACGCAGAAATGCGAGCTGTAAACGCAGAAATGCGAACTGTTAACGCAGAAATGCGAGCTGTTAACAGAATTGCGAGTTGTAAACGCAGAAATGCGAGCTGTAAACGCAGAATTGCGAGTTGTAAACGCAGAAATGCGAGCTGTTAACGCAGAAATGCGAGCTGTAAACGCAGAAACGCGAGCTGTTAACGCAGAAATGCGAGCTGTAAACGCAGAATTGCGAGCTGTAAATGCAGAATAGCGAGCTGTAAACGCAGAATTTTTCAGTGTACCAGTTTTTGTAATCAATCTTCTGATGCACAATGTGTTTGATCTCCTGCTTACGGGAATCACCAACAGAATGAAGTGTCTTCTGTCAGATGAACCTGTGAACATTTGAACACTGAACTAACACATGTCTGTAATGAAAACCCAATCTACTGGGAAACCCAACATAACCCTGCAATCTGTGTGTATCTGTGGGGTGTGTGTGTGTAATTAATGAATAAGCTATTTTAAGCGGCAGCTGCACTGTTTATTTTAGAGCTGCGCTCACTGCAAACACGCAACGCTCCGCTGCTCCATGACATTTGCTTTCTTTCATCCACTCGCTCCCACAATTCTCTTCATAATCACAAGGATGAGATCTGGAATATGATGCAGTAACATCACACATTCAACACAGATGCAGAAAGACACTCCAGAAATGCGACACTATTGTTTATTGTATTACATGAGGAAACATCACACACACACATTGGCATCAGTCATACTGTTGAAGCACGGCAAGCAACCAACAGATCCAGAACATCCTGTTTTGTAACCATAGCGACTGGCAGGACTGGGCGGTATGATGGGATATAGAGACTGGCGGAAGATTCAGCTGTATTTGTGGGCAGGACAGCAATTTAGATGTGGAAGTGATGAAGAAACGCGGAATAGTGTGAATTTACAAACAGGACGTTTTTATATACATTATATATGTGACCCTGGACCACAAAACCAGTCATATGGGTCAATTTCTGAAATAAATAATCTTTCCATTGATGTATGGTTTGTTAGGATAGGACAATATTTGGCTGAGATACAACTATTTGAAAATCTGGAATCTGAGGGTGCAAAAAAATCTAAATATTGAGAAAATC